GGTGTGTGTAGGGGGAGAGAAGCTGAGAAAGAAAGACGATCTTCAGTTCCTCAGGAATGTTTGTATAACATATATATACATATTTAAGATTTTTTATGATGAACATATATTACTTTTAACTCAGGATAAATTAAAATTTCAAAAGGAACCTTATCTATGATACAGAAGGTATAATTGAGGACTTATGTAATATAGGTAAGTCAATTATATCATGTGTTTCTATCTCACCATTGACAAGGTGAACCCAAGGAATGGGTCTGAAAACGTCAGCACACTCATAACTTCGACCTGACTTTATTTCCTGTGCGTACCTTGCAGGTAGCCTTGTAGACTCCTCTGGTCATATTCTGATCCCTGGAATCTATGACCAGGTGGCCCCTCTTACTGAAGAGGAGAGAAAGATGTATGAAGCCATCGATCTGGACCTAGAAGAATACCGGAACAGCGTCCAGGTTAAGAGATTTCTGTTTGACACCAAGGTACGGTCTCCTCCTGAAAGAGGAGTGACAGTAATAAATCCTATTTCTCCTGTTCCTCATTTACCACGGGGGCTGCAAATCTGCACATCTCAGGACTGAAAGCGGATGTTGATTCGGGGGCAGATTTTCACTGTCACAGCCATTCACCTCCCTCGGGTCTAGAGCCCCAGAACTTTATCTGGGGTCTGACAGGTGCCACTGGCCTCGGGCACGGAACCCGGGGGCCATCACTCAGTTCACAGACGTGCTTTTCCAAGTCGGCTTCTTAGACTCCATCCCATGCCGGCCTTCAGCTACCCGTGCTTCCTCTCTGCTTAAAGATTGAGAACAGTCTGAGACTATTCTAGCTCCAAGACTCCTAAGTCTTCATTTCAGTAGGCGGAATTAAGAGCCTTTGGGGCTAATCTGTACATTGCTACATCGCTGCCGCAGTGTAGGAAAGAAGCCAGAGCCCAAAGCATTCATTTCTGGCGAATTTGGATGTTTTCTTTCCCCACCTTCTTCTTTTTAAAACCTTTGCCTGCTACGGTGTGTGGTGACTATGACTGCTTCTGGAGGCTGCCAGGAGAGGGAGAATCGTGCCCAACAGAAGTGGTCAAGTTGATTGTTGTGAAGTAGATCTCCTCCCTCGGACCAGCCTGTCTTGGCCATAGCAGGGAAGAAAAGTGGCTCAAACATAATGCAGAGTTCTTTGAAGTCTCCTGAAAAAGAAAATGTGTTTCCTATGCAACTGATCATCACGGTGACTGGAGATAGAAATCTCTAACCATCCCCAAATTCTGAAAGCCCCTTTGCCATCTAATCACTGTGGAGCTGAGGCAGTGAGGGGCCCGCGTCCGCGGAGCAGCTTGGTCAGGCGGGGGGCAGCAGCGAGTCTCAGGGCCAGAGGGGAAAGGCTTGTGTTGTAGTCCAGGCCTGTCTAAGGAAGGTGATAATTAACTTGTCATGAGCGGTGTCAGAGATGTACAGAAATGGGCAATACAAACAATGCAATTCAACAGAGTTTTAATGGAACAATCTTTTATATAGTAAAATAATTTTATTTGAATTCAGGAGGAGATTCTAATGCACCTATGGAGGTACCCATCTCTTTCAATCCATGGGATTGAGGGCGCATTTGATGAGCCTGGAGCTAAAACGGTCATCCCTGGCCAAGTTATAGGAAAATTTTCAATCCGTCTGGTCCCTCACATGAATACATCTGTGGTGGAAAAACAGGTAACACATTTGCATTGTTCTCACTACGGCATGTTTCGAGTGTCGCATCCCAGGGTAGTGAGCTATTCGGTTGTTAGCACTGAAGTTCCATTTTTTTCCCCGAATATGAAAGGGACTGGAACAAATGTCAAGAAACCAATATAATTTTTGTTCCGTAAAAATCTCTTTCCGTAATTATATGCAATTACAGTAGTCAGATAAATAACTGTTTGGGGCTGGAGTGATGGGACGTATTTTTACATTAAACAGTTGACATAAAGGCAAGATTGGTTTACACACAGATGGAGAAACTGACTGCCTACGGCGGAATGGAGCTGGAAATGCTCAAACCCATAGTTAGTTTGCCCTTGGTGTCTGCAGTCAACACTCTGAAAGCAGCCACTTCAATGAAAATGTTATCTGGAAGGAGTTTTATGTCTAAATTATCAAACTATCATCAGTTTACCTCAAGTTCAACAGAAAGTAGGCTCTGAATAAATGAGCTCCAAGAACACCTCGTCCCAAATCTCTATCTCCCATTGACCTCTTTTATTGTCTTCTTAGCACTAATTACATCCTAAAATGCCCTCTTTCCTGTCTCTGTCCCTGTTTTCTCCCCACCCTCCCTCCCATTTTGGATGTATTGTTTCTCTTTCTTACAACATACGGATTCCACCAGGGGAGCCCCCAGCCCCAGCCCCACCCCCACCCCGGTCTTGCTCACAGCTGTGATCCCAGCACCTAGAAACATTCATGCCAACATGACAGGCATTCAACAATTGTTTGTCAAAGGAATGAATGGGTGGAATATTTCAGAGTGTGGAATTTTTCTTGGGAGGATTTCCATGGTGGCCACTGGAATGGAGCCCAGGGGACAGAGAAGGATGCTGACAAAAGGCTCCATTATAGCCTAGTTTGGAATTGCCCCCCCCCTTTTCAGGAATTAACAAATGTCTAATATTCCCAAAATAGTCATTAAGGTACAAGTCCGAAAAGAAGGATATTCAAATTGAGAAGTTGTATTGTGTTTCATAATTACCAAACATTAGCAATCTGACACTGTGGTCAGGATGGGGTGGGCGCAGGGCTGAGGAATGGAGGGTCCACAGATAGAAGGGGCGTGAGACCAGTGTTTCTCTCAATGCTGAAGCTCTCAGTCCCAGAGGCCCTCTGCGAGAATGAGGGTAAAATCACGACACTCGAATTTGTTGGGCTGGGATTTCAGTTTCTTGATGAAAGACTACTACATGGGAGAATAACTTGAAATTTTCTCTTACCACTGAAAATGTTCCTTTTCAGGTGAAGCAGCATCTTGAATATATATTCTCCAAAAGAAATAGTTCCAACCAGATGGCTGTTTCTATGACGCTAGGACTACAGCCATGGATCGCAAATATTAAAGATAAACAGTATCTTGCAGCAAAGAGAGCCATCAAAACAGGTTAGACGTGCGATGCCTCGAGTTGCCAGTTTTCAGTGGTTCCAGGGCTCGGTGCCTGGCGGGGCAGTGGAGAAAGCGGGCTCATTCAGAATTTCGGTTTAGCTCTCCTTTTCAGAGAGGCTCTGTTACTGGGAGTCAACAGCTCTGCCCAGGGCTCTTCACAGTCTCCTGACCTCTCCCCACAGCCTTCCCAAGTTTACAAAGTAAGTCTGCAAGAGATGAAGGAATTGGCTGAATGAAGGGCACCCAGTTGGAAGTGGCAAAGCTGGGTTCACGTATGGAAGCGTGAATTTGGGGCAAAATGATGGACTTGTGAGTCTTTGATACTTGTAAAAATGATGACCCACATATAAAAATGTCCTTTAAAAGGCATAGCTGAATTTGGATGAAAGTATAGGAAATCTGGGGTTAAAAATGAAGGTGCTAGGGGCACTTGGGTGGCTCCGTCAGTCGATCGTCCGACTCTTGATTTCAGCTCAGGTCATGATCTCAGGGTCGTGGGATCGAGCCCTGAGTCGGGCTCCGGGCTCTGGGCTCAGTGCAGAGTCTGCTTGAGATTCTCTCCCTCTCCTTCTTTCTCTGCCCCACCCCTCCTGCACTTGTACAAGTTGCATGGGCTCTCTCTCTCTCTCTCTCTAAAATAAAAAAAATCTTATTAAAAAAAAAAAGCGGAGCTACAATTTAATGGAGTAAGAAAGCTGACACTGGGGCGCCTGGGTGGCTCAGTTGGTTAGGCGACTGCCTTCAGCTCAGGTCATGATCCTGGAGTCCCGGGATCGAGTCCCGCATCGGGCTCCCTGCTCAGCAGGGGGTCTGCTTCTCCCTCTGGCCTTCCCCCCTCTCATGTGCTCTCTCTCTCAAATAAATAAATAAAATCTTTAAAAAAAAAAAAAAAAGAAAGCTGACACTGGACTGCCCTGAGAGGATTTGTTCTTTTTGGTCACAGGGAGGTTTGGGTTTTCATGGCCATAGGCCAGCCAGAGGTAGGGAACAGGAAGTGAGACCCATTAAATAAAGGCAGGGCATTCCCTAAGAGCCAGCCTCACCCTGGAGGGGGCTAACCATGGACCCAGCCTCACAGGGTTTGGGTCTTTAATCTCCACTCTCCAGAGGGTCCAGTTCTGATGCAAACAGCCCCACGGCAGGCCACCTGCCATTTCCACAGAGAGGCTTCCTGGGATGCTCATTTTATAATTTTATACAAAAATTTATAAAATTTTATATAATTTAAAAAAATTACCAAACACCGAACTCAAATTCCAGCCTATCTGACTCTAAAACCAGTGGTCTTTTCAGTGCCACTCTGCTTCCCCAGAGATAGAGAAGGCAGCATAGCTTTATTTGGAATTTCCTTGGTGGTGCCTGTTTCAACTGCATGCGCTTCCAGGTCCTGGGCAGGATCATGTGGTTGGTGAGCACAGGACACATACCTGGGCCCTGGCTGCCTGGGCAGGGAGAACGAACACCCAGCCCCTTTGGCTTCTGCAGCTGGAAGGGGACGCTGCCGACAGCTGCAACATAGCGGACTCAGAGGCAGGGGAACTTTCAGGGTGTCCCCAAAAGCCAGGCGGGGAAACCCTGACACGTGTTTATATGACTTACAGTACTCGATCGCAGATGAGGCCTCAGGCCGCATCCCTAACAGAGCAGAGCTGGGACTGGAGGTCCAGACCGTCTGGCAGCACTAACATCTCATCAGGGTTATCTGTACAAAGGACAGAGACATTAAAAGTTAGAGGACAGGTCTGAGACTTAGAGCCCTACTTCTCTGCATAATCATTCCTCCTGGTTCCAGCTGTAGTAGTATTTTACCAGTAAAATTTGGCAGTCAAGAGCGGAGGAAGAAAAGTTATTAGGAAGGTAAATGTAATCCCAGCTGAAGAGTGATGTGTGATTGAAATGTCAAGGTCAACAGTAAAGACCTGAAATACTCTTACAGGAATGCATAAGGCACCTTTTGGTTTATTGGGTGTGAAACCAGTTCTTCCAACGAGGTACATCATCTTTCCTCACGTTCACACGTTGCTCTGTGGATAAAGACACGGCATGATATCATTCGTGTCTTCATTTTATTTTGCATCTCTCCTCCATCACTGACAACTCAACTTCTTGCCTGGAAGGTTTGAAGTCATCGCTCCTTCGGCCCTAGGATATCCATTAAAGCTATTTCCTGGGATACCTTGACAGTAGAGCACAAACACTGCACCATTCAGGTGATAGTTGAGTACAGCTGTTTATTTGTATACTGGTTACAAAACCAAAGAAGTCCCACTTTCCAAATACTTAATTCATGAAGCAACCATAAAAGGAGGTACATTGTCTTCTAATGCTTGTGCCAGAAATGCATGAGAAAATATCAAACAAACCCAAATGAAGAGACACTTTACAAAACAACTGATCAGTACTCTTCAAGAGGGTCAAGGTCAGGAAAGACAAGGAGAGACTGAGAAACTGTCACAGACCAGAGGAGAGTAAGAACTAGTGACAAAACACAGTGTGGGATTCTGGATTGGATCCTGGAATGGCAAAAGGGAAGGATTGGTGAAATTTAAATAAGGTCTGAATCGAGTTAATAATATTATTCTGATATTAACTTCCTATTCTTTATAACTGTACAATAGTTATATAAGATGTTAACATTACAGAAAGTAAAGTAAGGAACATATGGGAACTCTCTCTGTACTTTTTTTGCAACTTTTCTATAAAATCTATAATTCACAATAAAAATTTTATTAAAAAAATTTTTTTTTGAAGTAGGTAATTGTAAAGAATGCAACCTGACTCTATTGACTATTTTAGAATATAAACTGCATGGTATCAAGAAGCTTACTTACCCCAGGCACCAAATTTAAGGGTTAAATAAAAAAGAAAAAGAAAAAGGGAAAGATAAAGCAAACATTACATTTGAGAAGATGACTCGGGGTAGTCTTGTCATTATTTTATTCAAATGTCTTCTTTCCCTGTGCTTCAGTGTTTGGAACAGAGCCAGACATGATCCGGGATGGATCAACCATACCAATTGCCAGAATATTCCAGGATACCATCCAAAAGAGTGTGATGATGCTCCCGCTGGGCGCTGTTGATGATGGGGAGCACTCTCAGAATGAGAAAATCAACAGGTTAGTGGATTCCTGTGGGGGGCCAGTCCTTCACTGCATAGACCCCGGGTCTCCACATCATAACCTTCCGATGTGCTACGTACTTTAGATTGCATTCACATCACCAAATCTTCCTATTTACATGGTAGGCTACTTTTCCCCATCATTTGAATGGAAATAAGTGTTTCTCTTTATTTTTTCCTTTGTTAGGTGGAACTACATAGAGGGATCCAAATTATTTGCTGCCTTTCTCCTAGAGATGGCTAAGCTGCATTAAAATGACAGGAGCCTTCCAGCTTAGATCCGACCTATTGACAGATACCCTCTCCCACACCTGGGCAGGAACAGAATCTAAAGATCCAGAGAATTTCAGTCCAGGAAATAATGTTTTTCCTTCCCATTTAAAATGTCTTTGGACATTTGGACCAGTAATAAAATATTTTAAAGGCACAGACATTGGAAATGGCATACTGTCCCCATGGCACACCTTTCCGAAGTCACCACTACCGGCAACATCTCCCCAAGTCCGGCTGCAGGAGCCCTGGGACTGGACTCTTTCCTTGGAGCACCAGGACAATTCTTCCATTAGACTCTCCCTGGCAGTTTGATGGGTCTGATCCCTGCAGTGTGCTTTTAGGTTCTGAGGTGCTCCTGACGCATCATCATTCCATACAGTGTGTAGATCACCCTTGCTCCTACCACACGTTCCTCTTATTAGTAAAACTGTTGGTCCCACTGGCTACCATGATTTCCCTGGGGTTCATTTGTAGAGGAGTAACTGAAGCATGATGCTGTATTAACCTCTTGCTTCCCCTTCATTTATTTTGCCTGCTTCTTGGAAAGTTCTGAAACAGAAATGAGCAATAGTCACATCCTTCTACCATTTGGGATTCCCTGTGTGAAGATGAGTACTTTTTCTATTCCAAGGCTCTTTACCTTTCTTGGATCGATGCCAACAGACCACCCCTCCTGCACCCTATTCTTTCTACCCCATCGCTGAAGGCCCCCCCCACCAAATCTGTGCACATGTAAAGTCACCACCACAGAATCAATTCTGATAGAATTTCTCTCACCCTGTTGGAATTTTACTCAGTGACTACATCTAAATTTCTAAACTGCTTAAAGCTTTTAATAGCATCAGTTTTAGATAGAGAACGAATCTAATCAGCCCTGACATCAGTAACACATTCTAAATTTAAAGCCATCAGCTAATGCTGCATTCAATTCAGTAATCATTTTAGTTAACCATCTTGTTTGGTTTGATTGCATTTGATGGTGTAAACAAACAAACAAAAAGAATATAATTTTTCTACAGTTGAGTGTATGTAAACAAATCAATCTGTATAAATTCATTACTTAAATCACATTAATGGAGAAGAATTTAAGAGTTTATTAAAAATGTTTCTCTTATGATTCCAAATAAAATCAAAGCATAACACATTTAATCTCTTTATGGGTTCTTGAAATGTCAGTTTTAAAATTTGCAACACAACATCCAAAAGGGCTGCACTACAGGGCCAGTGATTCAGCTTACCCTGGTCTTGTCACAGAAATGGGACTCAAGGGGCGCCTGGGTGGCTCAGTCAGTCAGTTAAGCGGCTGCTTTCAGTTCAGGTCATGATCCTGCTCAGTGGGGAGTCTGCTTCTCCCTCTGCTCCTCACCCCGCTCTCGTCCTCTCACTCTCTCTCGAATAAATAAAATCTTTAAAAAAAAAAATGGGACTCAAATGAGGTATGAATCTTGTGGGGGTATCCATGAATGATCTACTTTTTCTGTGATGCACGAGAATGTCAATTCCTGTTTATTGAGTATTGATAGGTGTTGGATATTTTTTGTTACTAAGGTTGGTTCATGCTTGCCACATTACGTTGAATTGTGACGTTTTGGATTTTGTAGGACCTACCTGATGTATTTGGCAGAGTTCCCAAGAACTAATTGCAAGAGGTTTATCATGCCAATTTATATTCTTAAAAGGGTGTTCATATTAGGGAATTAACAAAAGCTGTTCGTAAAATATACTGTAAGCACTTCTGAGCAATGAAACATCACTCAGTGTATTGGCCTGGAAACCTGTGTGAGTGTGTGTGGCACGGTGCGAGAGTCTCTCTGGTGACACACATTCCCTGCACTTGCAGCTGGAGGAGGACGGTGCGCCAAGGACACACAGAGGACTTGGTGTGGGCCTCTTCTTCCCCCACATGCTCACTCCACATCCCTTTCTCAGCCTTTGTGTTAGCCAGATGCCTGGGACTCCCGGCACACCCTACCCAGGCCCCTTTTTAAGAACCGGACCCCTGATCCTCCTGCATATTTCCTATCTGAAACTTGACTCATCTAAAATGGAAACAAGTCTTTTTTTTTTTTAAATAAAGATTTAATTTACTTATTTGACAGAGAGAGACATAGCGAGAGAGGGAACACAAGCAGGGGGAGCGGGAGAGGGAGAAGCAGGCTTCCCGCTGAGCGGGGAGCCTGATGTGGGGCTCGATCCCAGGACCCCGGGATCATGACCTGAGCCGAAGGCAGATGCTTAGCGACTGAGCCACTCAGGTGCCCCTAAAATGGAAACAAGTCTTATCCGTCCTCCCAAACCTGTTCCACCTCCAGCGGTTCCCTGATTTGGTACATGGGCCATTGGAATCCTGATTTTCTTTGACACTTCCCTCTCTTAGAAATCCAGTTTAATATCAAAACCAGTTGACTCCATTTTTCAGAAGCTACCACTTCCTTCCATTTCCACTGTCACTTCCCAGAGCCTGAAAGCCAAGTCCTGTCTAACTTTGGCAGGGTTATTGCAAAAGCCCCTACCCAATCTCTTTGCATAAATGACAGCCCTTTCCCGCATACATATCACACTGAGCATGCATGTTCTAGTAGATGCTCCATATTGCTTGCTGAAATCTTCCTTTTGAGTCTGCAGCTGCATTTTTGGAGTATCCTCTAATAGGCCTGCTGTCCCCTGCATGGACTTCTGTCTCTATGCTCTTCCTCTCATGTTCTTTGTAGCTGAAATGGTCTTGGGAGCAGCCAGCGCTGGGGAAAAGCGTATTAAAACAGGTCACGTTGAGGTGCCACTGACTGATAATGGCTTACGTTATCCGGCTGGCAGCACTTGTGTCTTCGCAAGGATCCTGCCCTAATTCAGGGGCCACAAAATAGCAGCATGTGAGCTCAAGGCGCCATTTACCCTGTTTCATGTGGCCCTCACAATGTCCTAAGTACTGCTGAATTGGATGCCAGCATTTCAAAATCAGTAGACCGATTTACACAAAAGATTTCTCTTGAGCAACCACAAGATTGGGCCACGCTGATGTGCTGTTCCCAGACTGAGGAACCCTCTGAGCTGAGAAGCTGTACTAAGCACAGGGCTTGGCCTGTAACATGGGCTCAACAAATTTCTTTGAAGTGGAAAAAGACAGAAGCTCACAAAATAAGATAATGCTATTCCATTTGGCTTCTCACTTCTACTGACAGCTACTTTCACTTAAAAAACAAGTCCTCAAATACCATTTTATGATAGGGTTAAATGACTTTTAAATATTATACTATTTTATTTATTTATTTATTTATGTTGAAAAAAGATTTTATTTATTTCTTGGACAGAGAGAGAAACAGCGAGAGAGGGAACACAAGCAGGGGGAGTGGGAGAGGGAGAAGCAGGCCTCCTGCCGAGCAGGGAGCCCAATGGGGGCTTGATCCCAGGACCCTGGGACCATGACCTGAGCCGAAGGCAGATGCCTAATGACTGAGCCACCCAGGCGCCCCAATACTATACTATTTTAAATATCTAGTTTAAAATGTGTTCAACATCATCTAGCTATTGTTTTTAATGTGATTTTTTAATTTTAAGTTTTAATATTAGTTGATCATGTAATAAAGAATTAAATAATGATTTGAATTCCTGATTATATAAGATGGAATATTTATTTCTGCAATAATGTACTTACGGTCAGATCTAATGTAGTCATGTTATCTGCCTTTAATACCAATGCCTTTCATGACAAGCAGTAACACTCAAACCAAGTCCTAATCCTTGCACATATTATTTCTGTTCTTCCACTTGCCAACTCTGTAACATCCACATTCTGTTTTCTTGAGCTTGTGACACTTAAGAAAAGATAATTTCCTCTTTACTACATTGAAAAGAACTTTCCTCTTTTGGAAGCAAGCTCTGGGAGGCAGAGGCTGGGTTGGGTATATTCTATATTTTGCTCAGGTGTCCAAAGGCTCAAACAATTGATGAAGTACAAAGAGAAATACAGGAGAGTTTCTGAAGCCAAGTAATGTATTCTTTCTCTTCCGGTGTGGAATGATGTGGAAGAGAACAGCTGGTAGATGTAATGACTACAATTTCTTAACAGTTATGATCAGTAAATAAATGCTTCTGAGCTTTTTTAGCTTGGATAGATTGAACAGAAAAAAGTTTTCGTTACATGGAAAAATTTTATTTAAAAACATTATGCTAGTATAATTTCTTATCCAGAATGAAAAAAGATGTCAGAAAAATTATGCCTCTGACTATGATAGAAAATGTGAAGTTTTAAATAATCTCACCTCCCACATTGAAATTCACCAAAACAGCATTCAAAGAGAATGTAGATTTAAAATTCTAGTGTGGGTGGTTAAGTGTTCGTAGCACATTCTGACTGTTATTGTAGGTAGGCATTTGAATGTAATGGCAGAACATGTTAATTTAAAGGAAATTAGAACTTTAAATGGCACTGTTAAATTAGTCATCAAAAATGATTAGTCACCAAAAATGACCAATGCTTTCTTTCAAATTTTAAATAATTATAATAAAATCCAAGAGGCCATCTAATCTTTATTTAAAACTCCACTTAGGGGTGCCTGGGTGGCTCAGTTGGTTAAACATCTGCCTTCGGCTCAGGTCATGATCCC